GAAGAGGAATGTATATAGGATATTGGTGGGAAACCAGATGGAAAGGGACCACTAGGAAAACCAAGATGTAGGTGGGTGGACAATGTTAAAATGGATCTTTGACATGATGGGATGGTATGCACTGGATTCATCTGACTGAGGATAGGAACTAGGGGGGGAGGAACTCTTGTGAACACAGTAATAAACCTTTGGGTTTCACAAAATGCTGGGAAGTTCTTGACTAGCTGCACAATAGGGAACTTCTCAAGATGGGCTCAGCTCCATGAGTGAGTGATGAGTGATGTACTCACTTGCATGTGGAAACATATTGTGACGTGTTGCGCTATGAATGATGTCTCCCTCCCCGCCCCAGCCAGCCGTGACGCGCCGAGCGGAGCCGAAGTTAGCCGAGTCCCAGCATACTGGTCGCTATGCAATGCGAGTCAACAGCGGTGACGTAACACGGGACGCCGCAGTTGCTAAGCGGCGGTAAACAACTCCCGACAGTGTTGCTAGGCTATCGGCTACCGCGGCGGCAAACAACAGTGGTGCCGATTACGTTGCTGTTTTCTGTGCTGTCCAGAACGAGGCTAAATAAGGAGCAGCAAAGACTATTCACAGTCAGTTCCGAGTTAGCCAGTAGTTACAGTTCTCAAGTCCTCGAGTTCTCAAGTTCCGAGTTAGTCAGCAGTTTAGTCCTCGAGTTACGAGTTACGAGGCAGCCAGGCAGTCAACCAGCATTGCAGTGTAGTATTTGTGATCCTGCCGATGGCAGTAATTGTGGATCTGTAAATTGTGTGGTTGTAAGAGCAAATGTGCAATAAATTCGCTATATCAAATAAGGCGTGAAGTTATTTGTCGCGTTATACACCCAACACGCGACAATATTAAATGTCCAAAATAATATTCTAAAGAAACTGTTTTAGCACCTGCCATTATTCTAAATATTTTCTTTTGGATGCTGAATACTTTACTTTTGTGTGTTGAATTTCCCTACAAGATTAGCCCATATGACGATATTAAGCCCAAGTAAGAAACTAGTTTTAAAGTGTGTTTTCATGAGTAGTATATATAACCTCAAAAATAAGCATAAAAATGAAACCAGTTCCGCATTCCAAGTAATGGAAATGCTTCATCCATAGTGTGAGGCAGGTTATCTTTCCAGCACTTGCACTGTGGGTCACAGATAAAGACTAGGTACTAAGCCACTAGACACTAGGAAAATTTCCTCCATACTTGTTCTGAAAACATCTGGCATAAGGCATTAACTACCAAGGGACAGATACCTAGCATTCGCTGAGAGCCGTTTGAGCCATTCCGCATGTGGACAGTGCTGGAAGGGGTATTAAATTGAGTGTCTATCAAAAAGTTAATACTGTTTGCTGCTTAAATCTAATAATAATTAGTATGCAGTATGAAAATTTTGGTGTAGTGGACAATACCACTGTTTCACCTGTGGGAAATGCCTTGGTTTCTTAGGTTGGGGCTGGCTGATTCATTTATGCATATTGTTGGCTAGAACTTCAAAAACAGACAAAGCAAATTTTCATTCATCCCTCTCACATTTCATGTTCATTCTGACAGGAGGTGTTTGAGTGTGGGGCCATACACAACTCATATTAGATTGATTGGCACACATTAGTCTCATGGCATGGTCCACAAACCTATAAATTATATACATTACAAACAAAATTTACCTAGAATATAGTAGACAAAGGAAATTCTCTCTATTGTTCTGAATGAATCCCTGACACCCTTGCATATAGGTTAAACTCATGTGCCAAATTTTTCTTGGGCAACAGAGTAATCTTCCTTTTGGTTATTTTCCTTTGGTTCTTCAAGTGTGCAATAGTCCTGCTCTGTACACAGTTTGTTTTACATTTCTGTACAAACAAAAGGCACTATGAGATGAGGACATGAGGATAAAACACCGCTAAATATTCATACCCAAAGTGTCCATCAAGTGCTGCAGTCTTGGTGGAAAAATGTATGAAGCCATTCTTATTCAGTTAATTGTTCCCAGAATGGCAGAGTATCATTCTTATTCAGTTAATTGTTCCCAGAATGGCAGAGTATCATTCTTATTCAGTTAATTGTTCCCAGAATGGCAGAGTATCTACTCCACATACCTTTCGAAATTAACTGTGTTCTCAAAGAAAATTGGTTTTCACTAACACTGCACCATGGACCATTTTTTTTATCATGTAGGGGAACCTCATGTACTCATCCCAGATTTTGTGAACTCTAGAATGTGTGGTTATGTGCATTTACCTCACTGTGTAAATGAAACTAAGCCTCGTAAAACTTAGAAGAGGTTAATTTTTTTCACCATGGCTGGACTGAAGCATCCAATTAGGCCAATAAAAATTCAGTCTCTGCAAGGTGATATGGTTGCAATAAGTGCACTATTGTTGTCTTATATTGTTTCAATTTCAAGAGTTTGAGGGAGTTAGTGCTAATGATTTCGAAACTTTAGTCTCCTGTGTAAGGCATCTGAGGGAATTTCAAAGTGAATGTTAAAGGCTAGCACAAGTCCAATACAGTAGCATTAGCAACATGAGGATGAGGATTTACAAGTGGTCTCAAGCATAACTCATAAGCTCACTTCATGACAACCATTCAGTGACTTGCAGGGATGATAAATTGTAATGTGTATAGAAAGCTGATTTTTCTGCTATGCCATGAGTCTGCATTTGTGCAAACCAATTTGACACAAGTAGATTCTAAAGGGTACCGAGGAACATGTAAGGTATAATACTCAGAATTACTGGGTTTTTGGACTTTGTGTATCGTACAGTATTCTGGAAATTAGAAAACACAATGTTTTGGAAGTTTGATCTGTTTCTGTCCTCAAGTGAGGGGAGGAAGATCGAGGTTAGTTATTTATATGGAACCCAGTAGAGTAGGTGTCTTCCACCTCTTACCTGAGGATGCAAACTGATCCAGTTTCCAAAATGGTGTGTTTTTTAGTTTCTGGAATACCAGCCAATGGGCAAAGTCCAGAATCCAAATAATTCTGAAAATCTGACACATGCTGCACATGGAACTTGTCTTTGAACAGCAGAAGGATTTGCAGCAGGCTCTCAAATAACCTCTCTGTAATATCTGATATGTAAAGGCACTGATGAATAATCTCATAACCTAATAACTCCTCTGATGCTGACAAGCTTCTGAGAGTTATTAAATGTTAAACATGAAAATTATGGAAAAAATAAAATGGCTTATTAAATAATTCATCTTGTAACTTGCAGGCATTCGTACACATTTCTACAGCATATTCAAATTGCATAATGAAAGAGATTGATGAGAAGTTCTACATGCCAGCTATGAGGTGGACTGAGGTGGTGCAGCTGGTGGAATCGCTGGATCAAGAGACAACTGAAATTATCACGCCACTGTATGTCTTACAATCTTCTACTGTAATCCATCATCGTTCCAATTTCATACAGAATTAACATGCATGATTAATATTAGCATACTCAATGATATTCCCTGAATTGCGTAGGCTGTTAGCTTCAAATGATAAGATGATGACATGTACTGGAAGAAGTTGGTATCATGAACTTTCTGGACTGAATTTACTACTACATTTCATGCACTTGGCACTGTAACATGGTTTGACAGGTGATGAGCAACATATTTTCACAACCCCGAATTCTGTTAACTTTCTTGTGAATGAGAGCCAGTAACTTACTTACGACAATATGCTTCTTATAAACTACTCTGATACATACACTACTTCTTACAGCTGATGAGTTCAAATTACTTCATAGTATTTAAGCTGCTTCTCATTACAGAACTGTCTAAAAGATAAATTTTGCCACAACAGCAATGGATTCTTACTCCACGAGCTACAATTCAGTAAAACTTAGTTATATACAACAAAGAAAATATCAAATTCGTATTAGTATGTACTCGTATAAGATGGCCACTATGTAGAGTGGGAATGAATTCTGTGAATATTTGCTTTCCATAGCAGTTTTGACTATTCTGAAACACAACTAAATGTGCTGTGCTTCAGAATCTGTTATTAACCAACTACACTGAGCTCAACCCTTCTTGAGAAGATGACAGTTGCACAGGTACTCAAAATTTTCCCAATATTTCATGGAAACGAAAGTTTCATTATCATGTTCACAAGAGCCCTCCTCCATTAGTCACTATTCTGAGCCAGATAAATCCAGTCTATACCACTGTATTTTATCCCTCTAAGATCCATTTTAATATTATCCACCCATCTGCGTCTTGGTCTTCCTAGTGGTCTCTTTCCTTCTGGCTTTCCCACCAGTATCCTATATGCATTCCTCTTCACCCCCATGTATGCTATACGCACTGCCCACCTCATCCTTGTTGACTTGATCATTCTAATTACACTTGGTGAAGAGTACAAGCTACAAAGCTCCTCATTATGCAGTTTTATCCAACCTTCTGTCACTTCACCCTCTTTTGACACAAATATTCTCCTTAGCATCCTCTTTTCAAATACCCCTTAGTCTATTTTTCTCCATTAATGCCAAAGATCAAGTTTCACACCACATACAATACCACAGGCAAAATTATAGATCACAGTGGCCGCACTGTCTAAGGCATGAACTGTCTTCCCTGCTCAGTCACTGGGATTGTGAGCTCAAATCCCACTTGATGCATGGATGTGTGTGCGCGTTTATTTTTGTTTATGTTGACCTGTGTGCAGGTAGAGGCCTTGTGACGGGCTGATCCCCCATCGAAGGAGTCCTACTGACTGTAAAAACATCAAGAAACTTAAAAAGCCGCCAAGGTCCAACAAAGGGTTGTAGAGCCATATATAAATTGAAATTTTAATTTTTATGTTTTTAGACAGCACACAAGAAGGCAAAATTTTCTGGTCTGAATGGTAGCAAGCATTACCCGAATACAATATCCTCTTAATTTCCTCCTGCTCATCTTGTGGTCACTGCATATCAATGGCTTTACACACCACAGTACTCTACCATACATTATTGTAGGGGAATGCGGTGCATGAGGCAAACCAGCCTTTGTGCAAATACATATAATCTTCATGCCACCTAACCGCTTTCCTTACTTGGGACTAACAGTATTCATACAGTTTATTCTCACGCATAAGGAAATCAACGACTACTTATCATAATTTAAAATACAAAGCTCGTGTTGGCCTCTGACCCTGCTAGTCATGGTTGTGGACTACATACACACAGATACATACATGATACATGTCAGGAGATACATGAGGAACATTCCGAATGTAATGCCTATTTTTTAAATGAAAACTACAACAGATACAGAAAGCATAATAAGACGGTTAAATAGATCAAGATTTCAGCTACTTACAGTTATTTTTCCACATAATCACCACCATTCTGAATACAATACCACTTTTGCCAGCGATGAACAAGAGCCTGTATGCCTTGCTTGTAAAAGTCTGTGCCAGCAGAGGCAAGCCACTTTCTTACAGCTGCAATGACAGCATCATTGCCTGGAAAATGTTGCCCACGTAGTCCGTCTTTCATAGGCCCAAAGAGATGGAAGTCTGAAGGTGCTAAATCGGGGCTATAAGGTGGATGTGGTAGGACAGTCCAGCCAAACTTTGCAATGTGCGTGGTGGTCGCCAAACTGGTATGGGGTCTAGAGTTATTGAGTTGCAAATGAAAGGTTGTCTGCTTCCCTGGCCTGACTCAGGAAATGCGGGCTTTCAGCTTAGTCAGCTTCGTCTTGTAGCGTTCAGAATTGACAGGCTCATGGGGCTGAAAGAATCAGGCCAACTGAAAAATCTAATGAAGTCATTGTGAATCGAATCCGCAACCTTCTGGCTTGTAACATAGTGCCTCAACCATGGAACAGAAATATCTTCCTTTCCATCATGTCCAGTACAATTCTGAGGTCTATCCAGCTCCCCTTTTGTGAGTACCAAGGGCTCTATCCTTAGGTATTAAACAACCAGAGCATATTTTCACCACTCACCTTCATCTAATAACAATGTCTAGATTGCATACCTCAACATGCCTTCACAGCACCGTGAATAAGGACTGTCATAACTTTACCTTAGTACATTTGTCTTTATTAGTTATGTACTATAAGAGTCTTGTTAAGTCTAAGATAATTATAATTTGAAACCTATGAAAGTGAATAACGTTTACAAAAAATCAAATTTAATATACAGATTCAATTAATGCATTTATTAATTCTAATTCAAAACTTGTTTGTTTTCAGTGTGCTAGGTGAGTGGCCAAATACGTATTCATTTACAAAGGCGCTTGCAGAAGATTTGATCAGAGACGAGGCCAGAGGTCTTCCAATTGGCATATTACGACCTTCTATAGGTAAGTGCAGCATGCTTATTGATCCTTCTTAACCAGTACAAAACTTGCACAAGGAGGTCCATGATCTTTAGAAAACTGGGTGTGTCTGTAAAATCTTATGGTTTTAACCATAATTATATTAGGGCACTTCAATGAAAACTACCAAAATTTATATTCATTTGCATACCAAATACACATCAGTTGATTAGTCAGTTATTTTTCATGTTGTCTCAAGTGCTGACGAGATGCAGTGCTGAATGACATTGCAGGATAATGCAAACGAGGAGTTTGTAGTGATGAAGGGGAAGTTGTGTAAGGTGACAAAGTAAATACTTCCCCCACTCCACATATGTTGCTATTGTTTGACAGTTTACTGCATATTGTTAAGCTATGTGCATCCAGCTCTTCCATCTGGGTGGCTGAACAATTTGCTGGAATCTCTCATAATATCAACTATGTGAAAAATTAGAACATGTTGTAACCATCCTTAAAGCCGGCTTTAGGCGCAAATTAAGTTAGCTAAGTTGAGTCCCTTCAGGTCTTCACTGGGGGTGATGTATGGGTGATGATGCACTGAACTTGTGGAATAATTTGGGCTAATTATTGTAACTGCTCAAGTCGGGCCTAGCAATTAATAACAAGGGTTTCTGCTTAGGTGCCGACAGGATTCTGAGGCATGGAATATCTGTAAGATGTACGTTATATTCTGCCTTAATAGTGGGTTTGATGGGTTAGCTCAGGAAAGTTGGGCACTTGACTCTGTCTCAGGCATGTTAGCAGGCTAAATTCGAGCGGCCGACAGGCACACAATCAAGCTGCACCCATTCACATAATAAGAAGGCAAATGATGATCCCAACTGCTTTTTTATTGATGCATTCATGTGGTTGCATGGACACAACAGTTTGCTTTCTCTGTGCAATGTTAGGAAAACCTAAATTCGAACACTTTCAACATTTCTGAAAGACCATTTATATTTAATTACTTGAACTGCCAAATAGCGACTTCTTATTTTCCTGAAAGCAAAAAAGGTCACTAAGTTAACATTTAGAATTTGGGGCTGGATGGTACTCTGACATGTCAAAGCACATTCAGTAGAATTTATAATGTGTTCAAGCCAAGCATTCCAACAGAAAGTCATCTCTCCTCGGTTTCACAAACTTGAATGCAGGGCATCCTCCTCAAAATCCTAACCAGCTGTTTCAAACAGCCAGGAATGCAAAAACACCTTGTGCTCCCAAACTGCAAACACAAGCAAGCAGCAAGCAGCTTAGATCTTGTCTGCTACCAGCTCAGATAATTAAATGTAGAAGCAGTGTCAGCCCTGGAAACACCACCCTAAAAGCTACAACTTCTTCTAATATCAAGGACAGGATTTTGAAAGGAGCTCTGATTGTGTACCCTAGCCTTCCACTTCCAATTTATGAAACCCTCTGGCCTACAAATAAAGCTGAACTTGACCAGCGTCCTTTATAAGTTAAAGAATATGCCTAACTCACTTGACCTACTTTGGTGACTGACACACTACTTTAATTAATTCCAAATAATCAATTCACATTAAGGCATTTAAAGTTATCGAAATCATTCACACAGATTTGGACAGTTACAACATACATGGCAGCCATATCAGTGTTTGAGGATAAAAAGCATTAAGTTAATGCAATAATTATTTTTTCCTTTCTTTAAGTCTCTGTTATGTTAAATGCATCAAGAATGTAAAATTTCCTTAAATTATTCATTCATAAATTTATAATTGATCCAGTGGCACTTCAGCATTTGAAAACTAGAATTTAGACTAACTTCATCATTTTAGTAGTGGTATTTCTTTCAGTCCAGAATACTACCTTGAGTTCGTTGGCAGAGCCCCAATTATATTATTGTTGTGTTCAGTGAATGTGAGACTGACACTAAAATATATGCTGCTCTATGTAACCTCTAAAAGGTAAAGCTGTCCCTCTGCATAATAAATTAAGCACTATAACAAGAAGATGTAAGGGGGAGTAGAGGCATATCTCCACTATTCTTGACCTCGGTACTATATCATTTGTGGTCAGCTACAAGTCAAGGGCCGCTATTTCCCCAGGGAAAGAGCCCCTGGAACCTTTAGGCTGGGAGACTGAATGGGACCCACAGCTGGTCTGTAGCAGAGAAAAACCTCAGCCTTCATGGGAACAGAACCCCAGCCATCCACACCGTAGTTGCTATACAAACAGAGTTTTCCCAGCTCCAGTGTAATCTTTAATGTATATATTATTATAAATTTTGTACTGTGTGCAATAACACTGCATAAGCAGCACATTAAAACATCCCTGATTTTTGAGTTGTGGCCTTTATTTCTGACCTGGCACTTGGCTAATTACAGGCAAAGAAATTAGTAGTTTCATATGTATGAAGGATGATAACACTTATGAGTATCAATTATAATGAAAACCCCTTAAAAATTCAGATAGTACAGCGCCAGACACTCTGCATCTCCAATCATTCTTCTTTTTTGACTCTGGGCTATATAACATGTACACATTTGCTGCAACTAAAAACTCTGGATTGCAGTCTCTTGGGTTGTAATTCCATAGACTCAAAGATGGTTTCATCACCATATAAGTCGCACATAACCATGCGATAATTTCTTAAGATTACAATATTTTGTTTGTGGGGCAGAAATAATCCTTTGCTACACCAGGACCCAACCCTTTGCTAATACTAACATAGTAAAAATAAAAGGTTCCTGCCTTCCTAAGTAATCAAATCTTATTTAAAATGATAATACCTAGAGAAAAGAACATACACTGATGTTTTAAATAGAATGGGAAAAGGGTTAAATTAATGTCAGATAGTAAAAATATTCTCATGAATGATGGACTCATTAGGTTTGATGAAGGAACATGCACCTACAATAGCCACTGATAATCCCATTTCTTCTGATGGTTTTACAGTTGTGAACACTGCAAGTGAACCTGTAGTGGCTTGGATGAACAATGTGTATGGTGCAGCAGGAGTAGTGATAGGTGCAGGAGTTGGCCTTCTCAAGTCCTTGCACTGTGACAAAGACATTGCAGCAGACATAGTTCCAGTTGATATGGCCATCAACGCTGCATTAGCTATTGCTTGGGAAGTGGCACAGCATACGTGAGTTTCCGATATTTAACACAACTCTAACCACAAACACTAATTGAATTGGGTGCAGAGAGAAACCTAGATGGTCCTGTAAATGAAAACAAGAAAAGAGGCTATGGAGAGCTTGTTTACCTTACGTATACAGGCAATACAAGATCTGGCAACAAGACTGAGCTGTAAATAAAACTGTATCCAAAGAAATGCCAAGTTAGATGTGAATTCCCAACAGGAATTGGAATTCGTGATATCATGCTGGTTGAGTCGATTCATATTCAAGTCAGGGATGATGATGGACCACATGACCTACTCATGATAATACGACCAGAATGGGAAAGCTAAAGTGCTTGGGTAACAAATTCTCACAATGCCATACTATCCACTTAACTTCCATATTTTTTGCCTTGCAACTGAAACCATGCCTTAGCACTGTGAAGACAGTGTAACCTCCTAAGATATGGCATGACCATGGATTACTTACTCTGTGTCAGTCTGACTCAGGTGTTTAAGATGTTCATGAACCTTTTCCTTGGAAAAGCTTGTCAGCGTGTTCACCAGGGTAGGTAGGACCATTTGTGGAAAGCAAGACTAGAAAAATCTTGAATGGTCATACATTACACTTTCTTTCATCATTGTTTTAGAGTTGAAAGGTATAATATTGTGACATGTTGCGCAAAGGAGAACCCCCCCCACCGGCAGTGACGCGGTGGGTGAGTCAGCGCTCCCCTCCCACTCCTCCGCACGGTAACGTAACGGTGACGCAACAGGATTGTTACGGTAGTAACAGCGGTTACTACCGCTAGCGTTACTAGCAACACAGCGCCAGGCAACAAGGGTGCCTATTACGTGGCCGTTTTCTGTATTGTCCGATCAAGGCTACATAAGGAGCAGCGAAGGCTATTCCCAGTTAGTTGTACTAAGTCAGTCAGTGAGTCCTGGAGCTACCTACGAGTCAGTCCTGGAGCTACCTCCGAGTTAGTTCCGAGTTAGCCAGCAACCAGTCAGTTGTATTGTGGCATTTGGAGTGTACTAATTGTGATACTGCAGATAGCAGTAATCGTGAATCTGTAATTTGGGTGATTGTAAGTGCGAATGTGAAAAAAATTCGCTACATAAAATACGGCGTGAAGTTATTTGTCGCGTTATACGCCCAACACGCGACAATATCAATGAACAACATTATGGTCTTTAGGGTTGTAACACTGCATGGTCTTGTAAGGGCATACAAATACTGAAGCACATCCTGCCAACATCTTCAGGGTGATGATGTGGTTAGATTATATGGGAAGAGTTCATGGAAGGTGGCCCCACATCCAGGCGGAAGGAGAGGAAAAAAGAACACGGTCCTGGCTGATATGAATGGCAAACAGGAAACATAGTGAGAATAAATGATTTCTAGGACTAAAGTAAAGAAAAGAAAAGGTATCCATGTAACAGACTGTGGAGGCCCATAGCATTGGAGATGTTGAGGTTGGATATGTCTATATTCATTTCAGCACCGACATTACAGCTAAAGCCTGATTTCTTAAAATAGAGATTTGACTACATTCCAAGCAGTTGTCAACAGACACACTGCTTGCAGAATATTTAGTTTCACCTCCTGATTTCTTTCTACATATAATACTGCTTTGTTCACTAGTCTTCAAGTTGATGCAGTGTATTTTACCCAAGTCAAGTGCCTGCAAACGGCTAGTGAAATTTGCAAGGAGAAACATCACTTTTATGTTGAGGAATTGAGCTGTTTCTGGAGGATGGTGCAAATATTTATCAGTGAACATGACCGACATCTACACCGACAACATGACCGCAAATTTAAATGACATGGTGATGGTGATAGGCTAGAGATGGATGGGTGACTGAACAATTTGACTCCCCCTTCCTGCTGCAGAATATTCCAATAGGTTGAGGCATCAATTTGTCAGATGGGTGGGTGTGTGTTTTTCAGGATGCAGCACAGTGACACTCATGCAAGATTAAAATTTAAAGCCATTTATAGTCCTGCAATGTGTGGGTTTTCTTCAACATTTCACATCACTGTCAACTTCCTCCCTCCTCCACCAATAAAAAAGAAGGAAAGAAAGAGAAGAAAAGTCCACATACAAAGCACAACTAGTACACCCAACTTGTTCAAGACGTAAAATGACTATTGTGGCATAAGTGACATGGTCTTGATAGAGAAGAATGCTGGTGTCCAAAAGTGATACTTCTTATTAGTCCCTTTATTTTCATATAGCCAGTCACACAGCCTTGAACGGCAGTAGCTATGAGAATAAAAAATACATTTTGAGCACTGCACCACAGAAATCCTCTGTGATTTGTGGGGCTGGAGACAGAGTTCAGTGTGGAGAGCTTAGTATGACTTGGCATCAAAAGTTATGATCTACTGTTAAACTGAGTTAAAACTCGGTTTTGGCGTGTGTTCATTATGTGAATATTGATACCAGTTTTCACCACATTTACACTAATCAAGGCATGACTTCTGAAATGACAAACATTTTTACATGATATGCAGGTTATTTACTAAAAGAGATATTAACCAATTATGGGAAAATAATGCATTGCATATATTGGGCTTCAGCTGGAACCAGAAAAAATAATCACTAAGCAAGAACACTAAATCATGCTTTCACTGTAATTGCATTTATATGCCACCTTCAGAATAACAGATCACACTACATACAAAATAATAAAACAGACAACCTGAGCCATCAGACGTTTTGATAGATGAACTAGTAGCAAAGCCCACCATGTGCAACAATATGAAGGGTTGCCTTCCCACGTTTCAGCCCTATTGACCATCATCAGAAAGCACAAAGCTACATAGAAATATTTAGATGTCTGATACACATTGGTTGTGATACAGAGATTTCTACTATTATCAATCAAGAGTACATTAAAATAAGCTGCATTGTTAAAAATAATCATAGGGTATCAGTTAAAATTACACTACCATGGTCCTCAGCAGAACACACACACAGTATCACAAAGATGGACATGTGTACCAAACAGAGTTGTTGTTATGTTCATATAATTATACAAGACGTTTAATTAATTCTAACTAATACTGTCCAATCATTTTTAACAACAAAACTTGTTTTAATTATATTAATATTTTAATGTACTCTAAATTCCTGATGGTAGAAATCTCTTTATAACAACCTACGTTTATTATATACGTGTACGATATTTTTTGTAGCATTGGTTTTGCCTTCTGATGATGGCCAGTAATGGCTGAAACATATAAGGGTAATCTTTATATTTTTATATTAATTTTGCTGCACTTGATGGACTTCGCTACTCATTCATCAAAGGAAAGTTGGGGGGATAACTGGATAATAACAAGTGATTCTTGAATTTTCTTGTTCATAATTGGAAGTAAAATAACTAATTTTATTAGCCTGTTATGCCCTCAGGTTTACGGCAGGTATTATGTTTTTAATGTTAATATGTTTGGGGCTAGACTAGAACAAGTATTTTGAAATACAGTTAGGAAATATGAAATGGAATGTATGAATGTACAGCGTCAGGGTAGCAATGCTGACTGGGCGGAAGCGTGTTACACAGAGAGCAGGACACTTGGAGGTAAGAATGCTGAGTCGAAGGGGGCGGGCAGACTAGAAAACGCTAACCCCCTCTCGGCAGGCAGCCAATGAGAACTAGCCACCCTAACAAAATCAGGTCATTGTGGGTAGGAGTACACCCTCCCAGAAGTTGACGAGTTAGCAAAAAGAGGGTACTAAAATACTACAGGAAACTAGAAAGAGGAGAGATATTAGGTTTTCAGACTTTATCCATCGTCCTAGTTTTTAAGATAACTAAGAAAAACACGACATTTCGGAAACTGGATCTGTTTCTGTCCTCATGTGAGGGAAAACACCTATTCTGTTGGGTCCATTAGAAAGATCTAGCCTCAATCCAGGTGTTTTCCCTCACCTGAGGACGGAAACAGATCCAGTTTCCGAAACGTTGTGTTTTTCTTAGTTATCTTAAAAACCAGGATGATGGATAAAGTCCTAAACCTAATATCTCTGTGTGTTATACACCATCGTCAGAATCCTATAGTAACTAGAAGAGGAGATTCGATCAATAATTTTCAGTAGAGTTGTGGCCGAAGGCTATCATCGAGATGACACTGAGAGACTGCTGGATAATGACGTTCTTCTGCATCCTTGCCACAAGTAAGTGGAACTACTACTTATAGCCATGAAAATTGAGGGTAACATTATTAAAGTGCAAACCCCAGGGAGCGAAAGTGAGGACTATAGAACAGACTTAAGAATACCAAAGCACGGTCCATGGCATGGTGTAAGAGAGAGAGAGGAGAGCAGGGAGTGAGAGGTATAGGAGACCCGGAATCAGATGAGAAGAATATAACTATGTCCGTACAGAAGTGATTAACAATTTACGTGAAATGTAAACCTGACAAACGTCGGCATCGTCTGTATGTATATAGGGTTATAGACGAATAGAGCAGAATAGGAATGTGGTGTAACATTAATGGACCCCATCCCACACTTCTCACACCCTTCCCCTATCGCCTCCTGCATCCCCCAAGCGTCCCAGGAGAACTGCGAACTCAAAGCCAAAGAAGCAGACACCGAAAAGGTCAGTGAATTTACCTAGCCCCTTTTTATGGCAGAACAGTCTCTTGTCTTTCTCATAGTTACGATTTGGTCTTTAGATCTGTATGATTATGCATATAATGTATGTATGTATGTATGTATGTATGCAGATCACTGATCTTATTTTTTGTTAGCAGGTCTGAAAACAAACCAGTGCAATATCTGAATACTGAAATTAAAACTACAAGTAAGAATGAAGATATAATTCCAGTATATAATTACATATCATCGGCACAGAATCCTATTATGTGGGGCGAGTTTATGAAATTGAGCGAGTATGGACTTAACTTCCCATCTTTGAAATTTGTGTGGTATTATTTCTTCACTCTCAACAAGCACAGGTTCATCCATAATATCTACATTGTATTTTTGCATCTGTTGCCAGCTCTAATAACAGACGTTGGAGCTAAGATCATGGGGAAAAAACCAATGTGAGTATCTCTAAAATACTTCGCACCAAACTTAAATACAGACTCCTACAACTCCATATTAAACGGATCCCTTGTCATGGTACAGAATGCTTAACAGCAGAAAAGTAGTTGTAGACAGCTGATAAGAGGTGGTCCTTCAGCTTAAGATTCGCTAACAGACTGACTGACTGACTGAGAAGTTCAAAGTGGGTTCAACTACTGTGGTCTTGTACTCCTCAAATAATCCAATCAAAGTCACAAACTCAGAGAATTAATATTAACATGATATTCCCTTCACACCAGAATGTAATGGTTATAGTGCCATGGCTTGATCTCCGGAATAAAGCAATGGCATTTCCTCTGTTATGTGTATAACAGTAACACTGTCACAGAGCTCAGTGCTGGGCTGATTCACTCTCACCATTAAAAAGAAGCTTGCCATGAAAATTCACAAATTATTCTGGAACTGGTCTGCTAAATATGCTTATTTTACAAATATTGAGAGCACTGGCATTATGTTTGAGGATTTATCACTCTCAGTAATGGAGACAAGGCACTGGGGAGGGATCAAACATCTGGCCCCCTCCTCCTTTCCATTGGATTTTTGGGAGAAAACAGAAAATGAAGGAACTATGTCAAATATTAATAATTAGGAAGAAAGTACGTGGGTCATTTCATAAATATTGCACAGGTTGGCAACACTGCGGATTAGATGATGCCTCACGTCAGTTACAGTTCAGGGCTTGAGAAAGAAGCGCATTATTTTGTTTCATTTATAATGTACTCTGTTCTTAAACGTGAGTTAAAAATGGAGCCTGCACGGTTCTTGGGTATTATAACTGTTGTAGATCAAAGGTCGTACATTAAGATCGAAACTTTACGTGGAAAAATCTTGAAAGAAATCCACAGTGCTTTAAGTGAAGTTTGTGGCGAGTTAACAGTGGACCGTAGTACAGTTTCTTACTGGGCTAGTCGTTTTCATGGTGGTTGTGTGAGCATAAACGATGATCCAAGGCCAGGAAGGCCGAAAACATCAACAGATGACCGAAGTGTGAAACTTGTGTCAGATGCCCTTGAAGATCGTTGTGCGACATGAGGAACTTTCTGAAACCATGGGGATTCCACCAACGTCAATATTCTGTTCTGACAAATTATTTAAAGAAGAGAAAGATTTCTGCACGATGGGTCCCTCACTGCTTGACTGCTGAACAGAAGCAGAAACTCCTCGACATTGCAACCTTGCTGAAACAAAGATTCGACGTTGAAGGTCAAGCATTCTTGTATCGACTTGTCGCTATTGATGAAACATGGGTTAGAGACTTTGAACCGGAGCTGAAATCACAGTCCAATGAATGGAGAGGTCCATCTTCACCACGACCAAAAAAATTTTGATGATCTCAATCAAAGGTCAAACAAATGATGATCTTTGCTTATGATCACCAAGGAATAATCATGACAGACAGAGTTCCGTGTGGGAACAGTGTCACAGCGGTTTATTATCGTGACTTTATGCAAAATCTCCACAGAAAAATGCACAAAAACCGACCTCAGTTGCTCAAGGCTGGGTTGATCATTCTCCATGACAACGCTCGCCTGCACATCGGGAATGTCGTAACAGAAAAGCTGCGCCAATACAGTTGGGTGGTGTTGCCTCATGCTCCCTACAGCCCGGACAAGAGTCCACCAGACTTTGACTTATTCCCAAAGTTGAAACAACCTATGCAAGGCCGTCGTTTTCCCTCTCTGGAAGAGCTTTCTGCTGCAGTTGCCCAAGCCATTCGACAGATAAACAAAGATGGTGTCCTGGATAGAATAGTAAAGCTTCCCACACGTTGGGACTCGGTCATTGAGAAGCAGGGGGACTATACCGAAGGACTGTAAAGAGATTAAAAAAAAAAAAATAAACATGGACGTAAACAAAAAATTGTGTGCATTATATCTGAAATGACCTATGTATTAAAAAATACTGTTCTCTTCTGAATACTCAAGGGCAGTCAGTAAAAACAGACAGAATTACTGGGGTTTTTGGACTTTTTCATCATGATATTCTAGAAAACAGAAAACACAGCATTTCGGAAACTGAATCTGTTCCGATCCTCAGGAAAGGGGGGGGGACACTTACACAGTTGGGCCCCTTAGAAAGAGCTAATCTCATTCACTGGAAAATCCCAGTCAGATTTACACAGCTATTTAAAAATGGACTTAAATTGTTTATAGGTGAGACTGAACGCAAACTTTCTGGCTGTCCCTCTTTGGAAAGAATCCTGGTTGGTACACCCATGACTGGAGGCAGTGTCAGGCTTTGAAACATTCACTGTTTCTTAAACTTAAACTTATGATTGAGAGTATGATTACTTCATTTGTTCAGAACCTCAAGCTTATAAAATTTAACATGTTACAGAATGTGGAAGACATACCAGAAGATTTCCAAGTTCACTGATGTTATTTCATACTTCAGCACTAAGCAGTGGAACTTTCATAATAACAACGTCCAGAATCTCTGGAAAAGGATGAATCCTCAAGACAAGATCCTATTTAAATTTGACATGGCTTTGTTAGACTGGGAAGTGTACTTTGCCAGTGCGGGTAAAGGATTACGGTTTTATGTCTTAAGAGATTCTTTTGAATGTCTTGAAGAGGCAAGGACCCGATACCAAAGGTGTGTATGAAATTAACGAATTTCTTAAACAAATTGAACGTATAGACTTACTGAGGTTTTGGACTTTTTACACTGTCTGCAATTCTAGGTAATAGAAGACACAACGTTTTGGAAACTGGATCTGTTTCTGTCTTTAGGTGAGAAAGGAAGAGACCTACTCAGTTGGGCCCCTTAGAAAGAGCTAATCTGAGCTGATTGAAATTAGCTCTTTCTAAGGGGCCTAACTGAGTAGGTGTCTTCCTTTCTCACCTAAAGACAGAAAGAGATCCAGTTTCCGAAACGTCGTGTCTTCTATTACCTAGAATTCCGGACGATGGAAAAAGTCCAAAACCCCAGTAATTCTGTGTGTCATCCACCACTGTCAGAACCCTTTAGAACTAAATGAAAAGTGTTTGAACAAATGTATATATTCCACCTATATGGATTTATTATTACTACCAACATCATGACAGAGTTTTTAATTATGTCATCTGAACAATACTGTTGAAATGGTTAACAAGGTTACGTGTTTTGGCATTAATTATTTGCCATCAATAGACCTTCCCAAATGAGATGCATAAAGCAAGTATTACATTTATATTAAGTGCTAGTTATGGATGAAGGTAACCATCCAGTCATTTATATGATGTAACTGGTGTATACAGGATGTCCCAGGAGGAATGGACCAAACTTCGGGAGGGTGTTCCTTATGTTAAAGTATGCCGATATAACCCAAAACACCTATGTCCAAAGTTGAACGGTTACAGAGATAATGGTCAGAGAAGTGTCAAACTTTGACCGGCGTTGCACACTTGTTGGTTACAAAATACATATTAAAACTGGCAGGAATATGTGGATTCTGTAATGTTAATAATGTACGTAACATCAAACTAACTTGTGAGTGACATGAAGCCATAAAATTGAAGTACAAAATACTCGCTCGCCATGTCATAATTGTCCTTAGGGTTTCCAAGCACTATACATGACACATGAATGGCAAGCGCTGACGTAACGTGGCTGACTGCGCGTTCTGATAAAGCCAACTACATACGTACGGCTAGGGTGAATCACGGCACTCAAGGACAAACATAGATAAGGCCTCTCAGCTGAGAGGTACAGTGCGTGGACCTGCCAGAAGACCACACTTTTATTGGGCCATTATCTCCGTAACCGTTCAACTTTGGACATAGGTGTTTTGGGCTATATCGGCATACTTTAACATGAGGAACACCCTCCCGAAGTTTGGTCCATTCCTCCTGGGACACCCTGTATAAGCATAATACTTGTATATTCGTCCCTAACACAGAAATAAAACTTTAGGAAAGAGACTTAAAATTGCTCCATGGTTGTCAGTGCTACTAAGGTTTTCTGAGTCCCATGGTTGTGTTGTGTTTAGATGTGGTAGTGATTAGCACATTCTGTAAGGAAACAAGTCATGGTAATAACATACACAGAGATTGAAGAAGTATTTAGAAAAAGTTGACTGCAAAGATACTTGAGAGAGAACATTTAGCTAGATGCAGGGGTGTGAGGTCCTGGTAGTTGATTGCATGCTGACTTGCAGTAGTGTGTGGTGTGTTGTACTGCTTTGTGGTTGGTAATGACATCGAATGTGGGGCGATAAGCATTTCTGTAGGTGTTGTTTCAATGTACTCTCTGTTCTTTGTTGTCATAATTGTGGAATCATTCTAAGACACTGAGGAGTTTCCCTTTTTAATTAATATGTAAAATGTCCATGCTATCTTCCTCTTTTTTATGCGTGATCAGTTTAAAAAAAAACAACACACAGAGTTCATATGGAGAGGCTCAATCTCAAGAAATTAACAAGTCTTGGTTATTATGAACTGAAGAAGCATAAGCCATGGTTTGATGAAAGATGCTCAAAATTATTACACCAAAGAAAATAAGTCAAACTGCATTGGCTACAGGATCAAAGCAAAATAAATTGGGATGATCTGAACAATGTAAGATGTGAAACCAGCTGGCATTTCAGGAAGAGGAGGAGGGAAAATATGAGACAAAATTCATGAACTTGAACGAACAGTAAGAACAGGAATGAGACCTGTTTAGAGGGGGCACACAGTAGCGTAGTTGGTTGAGGCACTATGCTACGAGCTGGAAGGTCATGGGATCGAATTCCAATAAGGTGGATTTTTTCAGTTTACATAATCCTTCCAGCTGCAGTGTGGCCTTTGTGTTGACTTAGCCTATAACAGAAATGAGTACCAGCAACATTCTTGGATTATACTTGGGAGCAAATGGTGGCCAGTGCGTAAGGCTGACAACCTTACTGCCATCTATGAGCCGATTGTCTAGAAAATGTGGAAACCTCAACATTTCACAATCCTATGGGCCTCCACGGCCTATTACATGGATACCTTTACTTTACTTACAGAGGATTAAATGACTTTAAGATTGGTTACCAAACTATAAGTTACTTAGTGAAGGATGAAAATGGTGATCTGCTTGCAGATTACCGCAAGAGTTTGAATAAGTGCAAGAGCTACATCTCTCAGTTACTGAATATACTCATACATAGGGTCAGTGATGTTAGGCAAATAGAAATACATACAGCTGAGCCGTTAGTACCTGATCATAGCCCCTTTTTTAGGTTGAAATTGGTACGGCAAAATTGAAAAGGTATAAATCGCCAGGTAGTGATCAAATTCTGACGAAATATTATGTTCTAAGATACATAAGCTAATTAAGTGTATCTGGAATAAGGAAAAATTGCCTGATCAGTGAAATGAGTCTACTATTGTACCAGTTCATAAGAAGGGTGATAAAACTTGACTGTAGTAATTATTGGTGGATATCAATGCTATCAATATCACACAAAATTTTGTTTAATATTCTTCTCTCAAGGTTAAGTCCATACATAGATGGAATTATTGGGGCTCATCAATGTGGGTTTTGACATAACAGATCATCTACTGACCAGATCTTTTGCATTTGTCAGATACTGGAGAAAAAATGGGAGTATAATGAGCAATCAGCTATTCGTAGACTTCAAAAAACCCTATTGTAACGTGTTTCGTTACTGAAGATGCCGTTCAGATTGTTAATTGGTTTATTTAACAACCTACAATTATCGGCTACAATTAATTATAACAATGTTACGGGTTTCCACACTTTACAAACCCTACAACCAAATCTCTTCACACTATCACGATTCAATCGTTACAACTGAGATTGGTGAGTACTGCAATTCAACTCACTCCTTACTGCTCACTGCTGGCTAGATTCCAACTCAACTCGTAGGCCTTGAGAACTCGTTCACTGCTGATTTGAGAACTCACTTCAGCGGCTGATACACTTTTAACTGCCTTCAGCGGCTGTGTAGTTCCCTTATATAGTCGCAGTGCTTGCCTGTTACATAGCAACGCTCTTGGGAGTTGTTTACGGGTACGTAGCAATTGCAGCTTTGCGTGTTATGTCACCGCGGGGAGAGGGGCGGGGTGTAGACTTGCCTATTACCATAGTAACGACAGCGCTACGATGCTGCCATGTACCGCTGGGGAGGGAGGGGTGTCCTCCATTGCGCAACACGTCACACTATTATTCAGTTAGAGGGAAGTATTGTACAATATTCTCATGGAGTCTAAGGTACCCATGAAACTAGTAAGGGTGATTAAAATGTGTTTAAACAAACGTATGGTAAAGTCTGTATAGGTAAACATTTGTCTGATAATTTCTCTATCCTGAATGGTCTAAAACAAGATGCTTTACCGCCACTCATTTTCAACTTTATTTAGACTATGCCATTAGGATGGTCCAGGAAAACCAGGTGGGACTGAAATTGAATGGGACACATCCGCTGTTGGTCTGTGCTGATATGAATCTACTGGGCGATAAAACATATACTATAAAGCAAAAACAGAAACTCTGATTGACGCTAATAACGAGGTCAGGCTAGAAGTAAAGATGGAGAAAACTAAGCAGGGCAAAATCACGACATAAAGATAGGTAACAGAAGTTCAGATATTTGGGAATGACGATAACAAATCTAAACTCGTTCAGGAGAGACTGAACTCGGGTAATTCTTGCTACCATTCAGTCCAGGACCTTTGGTCTTCTTGTCTGTTGTCTAACAACATAAATTTAGAATATATAAAACTATAATTTTGCCTTTGGTTCTGTATGGGTGTGAAACTTGGTCTCTGACATTAAGGGAGGAATATGGACTGAGGGTGTTTGATAATAGGGTGCTGAGGAGAATATTCAGACTGAAGAGAGATGAAGAGAGAGGAGGTCAGAAAAAACTGCATAATGAGGAGTTCTTCATAACTTGTACCCTTCTCCAAGTATAATTAGAATGATCAGGTCAAGGAGGATGAGATGGGCATGGCATGTAGCATGAATGGGAGAGGAGATAAATTCATGTAGGATATTGTGAGAAAGCCAGTTGGAAAGAGTCCACTGGAAAGACCAAGGCATAGATGGGTGAACAATATTAAAATGGATCTTAGATAAATAGAATGGGTGATATGGATTTGATTTTATCTGGCTCAAGATAGGGACCAGTGGAGTACTCTTGTGAACACGGTAATGAACCACTCATGAATTTGTATAAACTATTCACTTAATTTATCATTGTTAAGAGTACTGTTCATATAACGTTCAAAATAATAAACATAATTTTAACTCAACTCTTTTATCGTAAGCAGAGATATGTCTATTGACTCTGGAAGCTAAAATCTTCCGTATCAGGGCTGAATCTAATTCATTCATGTTTTCATGAAAATTCATAACATGAGTAGCATTCAAAGTTATGTCTGCATATTTCACTCCTACAATATTCACACTTTTTCTTTTACAGTCCTTGATGTGTACATACTTCATTTTCAGTGGTTTCTCAGTACTGAAATTAATGTTGTCATTTCAGCCAGGTACTACTTTATTCTCACCTCGTGAACAGAATAAGTCTTTTTTTCAGGGCAAAGACAAGTTTCCCAAAATTAAGTTCATTGTTGTTTTGAGAACTTATATGCTGGAACAGTAAAAAACTTATGCGCTAATTTCCACCACATTTGTTCCAACTAGTGCAGAGGTAAAGAAAATGTGGGTCTACACATCCACACCCACATACACCATCACGGTGTAGTGCTTACTTAGTTAAGTACAGGGACAACTTTACCTTTTTTACTTCACTTTACTTTACTTTTTACTTGAGCACCTGCTCAAGTTTTAAAAACAGAATATTTGTGGGACTGGAGGTTCGATCAATAGTAAAGCTGAATTTATGAATTCTGCTGGGACTTCATGTTATCGTATAAGACTGTTTATCATTATCACTGCCATAGGAATCCTATCTTAAGTATTTTCATATCATAAACTGTTCCAGTATCTCTGCATTCGGTAATTTTCATGATTGTGTTTGGTACACATCTTTAGATACAAAACCGCTCCTGTCTTCATTTCCATATATTTTTTATTTCTGTTTTTCCCATATAGCAGTATCATACAATAAATACAATTACAATCTTATATATTCTAATGATAATTTTATAGCAAAAGGCACTGTGGGGAAAGAAATGATGTAAACTGCTGATCTGTGTAACAGACTGTATTTTCTGAAATTTAGTATGTTTCTAACATCATAATGAAAAGATTAAACATAAAAATTCCTTGAACATGATGTAAAAGCCACTAAATGCTGTTATAAGTATGAGGTTTTCATGGCAGTGATTGTCCAGACTGTGGTCTTCTGGTTCTAACATCATATGGTGTTGTAAATGGGTACCAATGCCTAGGAGGATAAAGCTATCTGTCTCTTTAGGGTTGAATTATGTAGGATGAGCAAACTTGCGATTTCTAACCTTTTATGCTTTGACCCTGAAGCACAACACAGAGTACCACTGTCAGATTAATTACTTAATTTCTCACTGATATCTCTATTGTAGCTTTTGTTTGTTTACAGACTGAAGTATCTGCATTACACAATATTTTACTCAGTTCAACTGATTTTACTGTATGTGGCTTACAAGATAGTACTTCACTATTGGATCACCTTCAAGGATGTTTTATTGGAAATACTACAGTAGAAACCCAGAATTTCCAAGTATAATGCTACAACTGCCTAATACAACTATATGTAGTTTGTGATTTGTGGTATTCTGTCCATCAAGGCAACCATGAAAATAAACTAACTGAATTGTTTACATTGGTTGTATTCAATAACTGGTACATGTCATCGTTAGGCAGCTTCCATAAATGTGTCTCATGTTAGTGAAATATTCTGATATGGATAAGTAACATGAGATGTACTTAATGAAACTACCTAAAGATGGTTCCAAATGTGGACCAAAACATGTAGCAGTTATTAAACAAAACCAATGTAAACAATTTAATTAGTTTATTTTCATTGTTGTGTAGAAAGCTAGACCACCACAAATGATACACAACAGAAGTAAACAGTAAAGATATATAGTTTCGTAGAAACAATATATGAACTAACAGTCTCCTTATATAAAATTGTATTAAGTCTTTTTCAGTATGAAAGTTTAGATTGAATGATGAGTTGATTTTGCCATTGGAAGGTATAACATTCTGTTTATCATGGAACAGAAAAACCATTGTACAGTACTCTTATGTAACTGTTTTGTGGTTGTTACTACATCATCTTTTTAAGAAAATTGTCAAATTATTTACCCCAAAAAGTGTTTAATGTTGATGAGGTTGAGCTGTCATTCACAATTTGCTTTCTTCACTTGAGCCATGGGTGAATACAATACATAATGCTAAATGTTAAATAAAGAAGTTTGTTACGCAGAGAAGAATACACAAATAAACAGAATAACATTCATATTGCCTATATTGTATTGCATATTATGGGCATGAAGTAAAGGGAATGTAACCTATTTATTTCTTAAGTTTCTTATGGTAAAAATGGGTCTGCTTAACATCATTTCACATAATGTCAAGGTTTGTAAAAATACACCGACAATGTTAAATGAGGATCTACTGTAATAAAGCTACAAATTTTAAGTACCATTCTTATATCTTAATTCAAAGTCCTGGACTATACCAAATAGTCACATAAGCGAATTAGCTTATCTCATAGCTATTAATATCTATTTTACTGTTTATTTCTTATTTGTAGTTTGTTTAATGTTAGTAATTCAGACTACAAGGTGTGTCCCAAAAGTCATGATATATATATATATATATAATTTCTTTTTAAATTTATTGATGATATCGGTACAAAGTGTTAATATTCTTCAAAGTACTGTCCATGAGCATCTACACATTTTTTCCACCGACTCTCCCATGCCCGGTACGCCCCTTCAAAGGCCTCGACGGGAACCTCATTTAAAGCTGTTGTCACGGCCGCTTGGATAGCCTGAATGCTTTCAAAACGGCGCAATAACACAGTCTAAATAATGAGGCTCAATTTCCACATGTTCCTTCAATTCACTCGCAATCAACACTCGATTGGCCTTTTGCTCGTCCGTCAACAATTTGGGGACCAGCTTGGCGACACCTTTCGCATGTTCAATTTGTCAATAACGATGCGATGCACAACGGTTTTTGGAATGTTCAGAGTGTCAGCTAACAACCGGACAGTCATTCGATGGTCAGTATTCAACAAATCACGCACACGAGTCACATTTTCATCGTTTTGGCTTATTGATGGCCGT